ATGATCACAGAATATCATGCATCTATTTAAGATAATTTGTTGTTCTGTATTTTTATATGGATGGACCATCAAGTAAAGTGAAAAGAAGCAAGTGCAGTAGTAGTGGAATGTATACATCATAATTCCATTTTATGCTTTGAAAGTATCAAATGTACATACATGATTGTATGTGTTCGAACACAGAGAAAGGTGGTAAGGATACAAAACAGGCTGTTAACATTGGTTATTAAATAATAACCATGGCTATTAATATTGGGGGTGGGGGCTAGGAATAGACAGATATGGCTTCGAGATCATTAACTTTTCTTTATACATGCTTGAACTGTTTTCACTTATTGCATATTCAATGTGTGTAATTTTGTAATTAAAAAATTAATCTATAACTAGGACTCTTAGAAATTATTCCACGTAAAATGTACGCCCAAAATATTGTCTAAAATACTTGAAATGCATGACTCTTTAAATCAATGAGTAAGCTGATAAGAAAGAATGAAAATTTTAAAAGCCAAAAAGGATAGGAGGGCATGAATTCTAGAGAGATAAGGAAGTGCTTAAGCCAGAGGCCTCCCTGAGAGTACCTGTGAATGCCTGGTAATCTGGAGTTTGGGTTTTTATGGGCCAAGGCAATGGCAAGAGAAAAGAACCAAGACTCATGCAAGGTGAAAAGTCAGATCAGAACCCTACGCACAAGGACCCCAAAATGTTGACACCCTAGTAAAAGGGTAAACCAGAAACACATACACATGCACAACTACAGTAAAGGAATTTTCCTATCTTGGCTTTGGATCCAAGTGGGAAAAAAAAATTCCTCCAGGAATATATAAATACAAGCTGGTTTCCTTGCATGGGAGCAGAGTAAGAACATTTGCACATGTTTGCAATCTGAGAGATCTGAAGCTATGAATTTAACTCAAAATAGTGTGAGTTGTTAGGGTAAAATTTAAAACAAACTGATTTTTAAGAATGTTCCTTTAAATGCAGGATTCCAAGAAATTCTGTAGATAAAAGTGCCATTACGCATAAACTTCCATTAAGTGAGCTCACAGTAAAAAAAAAAAAAAAAAATACACATAGTTTAAGAAAACAAGATGAAAAAAAGTCAGAAGAAACAACAAGCAGCAGAGATCCACAAAGACTTCAGATATTAGAATTATTATATGCAGAGTATAAATGAAAGTGTTTAAAAAAACTAAGTAAAATGAAAAGAAAGGAAACAGAAGAGGGCATTAACAGCAGCATAGCTAAAGGAAAAAAGAGAAGAAAAATGACCAGCATGTCTGAAAAAGTACCAAATAGAATACCTAGAAATAAAATCTAGAAGAAGGAAAAACAAAAACAAAAATACACTATTTTACTAACAAAGGATTTCTCAGAAGAGGGGCAATGAAAGCCTGAAAACAGTAGAATAATATTTCCAAAGTCCTAGTAGAAAATAGCTGCTGTTAGCTCTGAATCTACAATGAAATGTTTTTTTAAGAGAAGGAACAAAGACAGTCAGATAGCAAAAATTAAGAAAGTTAACTGCCACCAAATCTTCACTAGAAGAACTTGTAAAGAATGTCTTTTTTTTTTTTTCTTTTTTTGAGACAGAGTCTCGCTTTGTTGCCCAGGCTAGAGTGAGTGCCGTGGCGGCAGCCTAGCTCACAGCAACCTCAAACTTCCCAAGTAGCTGGGACTACAGGCATGCGCCACCATGCCCAGCTAAGTTTTTCTATATATATTAGTTGGCCAATTAATTTTTTTCTATTTATAGAGACGGGGTCTCGCTCTTGCTCAGGCTAGTTTCAAACTCCTGACCTCAAGCAATCCACCCGCCTTGGCCTCCCAGAGTGCTAGGATTACAGGCATGAGCCACCGCGCCCGGCCAAGAATGTCATTTAAGAAGAAGAAAAATGAACTCAGAAAGAAGTCTAAGGTGCAAGAAAATCTGGAAAGTAAAGAAAATGGGATATATGGACAAATCTAAACTGATATTTAATGTATTAACAATGATAAATATTTTATCTGTAGTGTTTAAGAAAAAATAAGCCATGACCAAAATTGATAGCATGTTAAAGTATTCTAAAATTTGTATTGTTCAGAAAAAAAGGTAAAGATGTTGACTAGTTTAGATCTTGTTAATTTAAATAATTATGTTAAATGTATATAATTTAAATTCCAGAATAACCACTAAAAGAACAGGAATATATGATAAAACTTCCAAACTATGACAGTAGTGAGAATTAGAAAAATTGGAGTAAGAGAAAACATGATTAAAAGAAGAGAGAACATTGAGGGGAAGAAATGTAGGAAAAGGGCTGGGTGCGGTGGCTCATGCCTGTAATCCTAGCACTCTGGGAGGCCGAGGCGGGCAGATTGCTCAAGGTCAGGAGTTCGAAACCAGCCTGAGCAAGAGCGAGACCCCGTCTCTAATTTGCCAACTAATATATATAGAAAAAATTAGCCGGGCATGGTGGCGCATGCCTGTAGTCCCAGTTACTCGGAAGGCTGAGGCAGGAGGATTGCTTAAGCCCAGGAGTTTGAGGTTGCTGTGAGCTAGGCTGACGCCATGGCACTCACAAAAAAAAAAAAAAAAAAAAAAAAAAAAAAAAGATATGAAAAGGTGCTCAACCTCATTAATATTCAAAACATTCAAATTAAGCCCCCAATGATATACTTTGACACTCCTATTAGGATGGTAAAAGCAAAAAGATCCTGACAATACTATGTACAGCATAGATGTGGAACAATAGGACTACCAATGGTAATATTGTGAATTGGTACAAATTCTTTGGGAAATAGTTTGGCATCAGCTAGGGAAGTTGAAGATACACATCCCCTGTGACCCAGCTTGGTGTATAACCTACAAGAATACCTCCCCTTGTGCTCCAGCAAACATGTACAAAGCATTCACAGCAGCTTTCTTCTTAGTAGCTGCAAACTGTAAACAACCCAGACGGTACCATAAAGATATTCTGTATATTCCTACAATAGATGATACAGCAATGAAGATGAATAAAATACAGCTACACACAACAATGTGGATGGAACTCAAGAATATAATGTTGAGCACAAAATGCCAGGCACAAAAGAATACGTGCCACGTGACTCCATGGAGATAGAACAGAAGCAGACACCAGCAAAAATATGTTTTGGGGAATATATACTTAGATTTTGAAAATATGAAAAACAGCAAGGAAGTTATTACTGTTAGCCACCTTCATGAGAGCAGGAAGACTCATGATTGGGAAATAACAAGCAAGGAGCAGGAAGTGTTGGAGATCTTTTCCCCAATTTCAGAATAGTTTAATGAGTGATCACTTCATAATAGTTTGTCAAATTGAACATTAATGTTTAAGCCATATTTTTATTTTTTATACATTTTTTGCAAAATATATATTTTTACAAAAAGGGAAAGTAGCTCTGCCTCTTATTCTCTCCTTTATTTTCTCCTAAAGCCATTAGGTAGGGCAGAGCAAGGTAGGCATTTGCCCCAAGGGGAAGGGAGCCATGGTGGCTCTGTGTGGGTGTCCGAGCTGGGACAGGTCAGCAGGGCATCTCTGTAGGAGGCCGCTGGCACGGGGCACTGGAGCCACAGGCAGGTGACAATGCCCTGTGAAGGGGTAGGGAGCAGCGTGGCATGGAGAGTCAGCCTGAGCAGGGTGAGAAGGGATTCCCCTGGGGCTGGGGACAGCTGGCACAGAACGAGGACCGAGTGGGGTGAGGAGGGCGTCCGTGCACAGTCAGCAGCTGGGTGAGGGGCCTCAGGGCTGGAGCAGAGTGAGGAAGCTGTGTTCCCATCCTGAGAAGGCCCAGGGTGGACTTCCAGAACTGAGGGAGGGTGAGGAGGGTGTCCACGGGGGTGGGGAGACAAGGCCCAATACAAGGTAACAAAACCTGAGCAGGGCGAGAAGGGTGCCCACGCGTGGGGAAGCCAGACTTGGAGCGTCAGGGCCCAGGGAGATGGAGGACATCTAGAAGTCAGGGTGGTCTCCTACAGGGGGTCAGGGCCAAGCACAATGAGAAGGGGTTCCCCAGAACTGGGCTGTCTGTTGTGCAGAATCAGAGCCTAAGCAGGGTGAAGAGGGCATCAACGCATAGGAGGAAACTGAAGTGTCTTTTGGAGGCCAAGTAGGGTGAGACGGGCATCTATAGGGTGAGTGGCCCAGTGTGGAGTGTCAGGGCCTGAGCTGGGTCGAGTTTGGTATTTTCTCTAAAGAATAAACAAACACACACGCAAACGCAAACACACACGTTTAAACATATATACATATCTGTGTATATACTTTTTAAAATGGCATTTTAAAACATTTATTTATTTATTGAGATAGAGTCTCGCTTTGCTATCCAGGCTAGAGTGAGTGCCGTGGCGTCAGCCTAGCTCACAGCAACCTCAAACTCCTGGGCTCAAGCAATCCTCCTGCCTCAGCCTCCCGAGTAGCTGGGACTATAAGGCATGTGCTACCATGCTTGGCTAATTTTTTGTATATATATTAGTTGGCCAATTAATTTCTTTTGATTTATAGTAGAGACGGGGTCTCGCTCTTGCTCAGGCTGGTTTCGAACTCCTGACCTCGAGCAATCTGCCCGCCTCGGCCTCCCCGAGTGCTAGGATTACAGGCGTGAGCCACCGCGCCCGGCCAACATTAACTCTCTGAAGAGTGTCTCTCCCAGCAACCAGGCTGACTGAGTGGCTGGTGCTGTGGATTCTATAGCTGCAGGATGCTGCCCAAGATCGCCAGCACCCTCTTTCCTGTAGCTCTTCCACCAGCCCAGTTAGAACCCAGAAACTCTGCGGTGTTACTGCACTTTATTCAGTTGTGGTCTCTTGGACAGTTCCCTTCCTCTCACGGTTCCTCCTCAGACAACGAGGAGCTTGCAGCAGGAGGTAGAAGCTCCCCTATAAGTTCTGGCCTTCTCTGCTGCTCTCACAGCAACACAACTTTGACAAACGCCAGCCGAAGACTCTGCAATCAGCCTATTCTCCCCCCACGCCCCACTCAGTGGCAACATCTTTACTCTTTGGCCGTAGAGAATATGAGCGCCCCAAAGAGAAGATAAAAGGGAGAAGGATGGGAGGAAACTGTGGGAGAGGGAGGAAGGGACACAGAAACCATGGGAGACCCACAGAAAAAGAGAAAAAAGTTGGATATAGGCACAAAGCGTCCCAGAGAAACAATGAGTTACAGAGATTGACAGAGACACATTGTCAGGGACAAACAGAAGGGGTGTGCTGGTTGGCATGCATGTAAATGCAAAATGAATGAAGGATGAGGACATTCTACAGCTCTCCAGGTAGCCAAGATGAAGGAAGACTCGAGATGGTGGCATTCACACTCAAGGCAGCCTGGAAAGTGTGAGGTCAGATTCCAATTCCCCTCTCCCCGAGTTGACCAGAGGGCCCAGCCCAGCGCAGCCCAGGGCCAGGAGCTGTCCAGCGAGAGACCCTCCCCCAGCGCTGTGACCTGTGGGTGCCAGTCAGTCCCATGGACGACCTTGGAACTTGGCGTTCCCAGCCGGAAAAGGGGTGGCTGGCTTGTGTCCAGTTCTTACGCCCGAGGTGCTGGCTACTGAAGGAATAGGCAGGGCCAAGGCAGCCAGGCATTTCCAAGTTCTGGAACCACCAGACAGGCAAGTCTGTCTTCAGAATGAAATCTTCCCGATTTTTGAGCTTCCTGGTGCTATACATTGTCTTCATGGATGTCCAGAGACCTGGTCGGAGTGAATGGCTCTTTCCCAGTAAGTACTGGGCCTCAGCCCTTGCCCGGGGGAGAGGGGAGTTTGCTGAGAGGAAGAAAGAAGGAAGAAATTGTCAGGTCTGGGTTGCTTTCCGCCATCTTAGTCATGGTCCTGGGTTGGGAGAGGAGGGGGAGGTTTGGAAGACATCTTCTGTGAATGTAGAAACCCTGACTTGGGCAATCCCCACTTCCAGCCCCCTTACAGTAGAGAGTCTTTCTTGGGAAGGTGGGGGGGGCAGGGAGAGTCACAGGATCTAACACTTATAGGAGGAGCTTATATTAATTGGAATCTGGGGAGCCTAAGGGATCTTCCCCTCACCCCATGAGAAAGACAGGCCCCTCTTTTAGGATATCACCTCTCTCTGCTCCTGGTTCTTTCAAATGTAGTTCTAAAAAGTGTCCCTCCATCCCTATGGGGTTCCTTGACTTTGGGATAAAGGACAGTATCCAGAAGTCCCTCTAAACTTAAGACACTAATACTCCATGACTCTATGGTAATAATGAGAGTTGTTACCATTTGCTGAACACTCAGAACGTAGGGATTTCTGAGTAGGGATTTCCAAAAAAAAAAACAAACAACAAAAAAAAAGAGGAATCTGGTGTCAGTCTTAGGGGCTCCAAATCTTGGTAGCCACATAACGTTGGCCAAGTTACTTCAATTCCATGTGCTTCGGCTTTCTCATCTGTAAAATGGGGATATTAATAAGACTCATGTCATAGAGCTGTTATGGGGATTAAATGAGAAAATACATTTAAAATGTTCAGAAGAGTGTTTGGCTTATAGTAAGTACTTAAGAAATGTTAGTTGACATTACTGTTCAGCACTGACTATGAATAGAGCTTGACGCACTTTGTCTCATTTCTTCCTCACGAGTCCGTGAGGCCAAAATGCTTTTACAGACGAAGACACAAAGGTTCAGAGAAGGTAAGTGGCAGACCAAGAGTTAGAATCCAAAAACTAAACCGAGTCCAGGGTGAGTGACATTAATCACTGCTGCAGTCCCCAAACCCCAGGCCACGTACCCGAACTGGTCTGCATCTGTCAGGAGCCGGGCTGCGCAGCGGGAGGTGAGTGGCAGGTGAGAGAGGGAAGCTTCCTCTGTATTTAGAGCTGCTCCCCGTCGCCTGCCGCTTGCCCCACCTCACCCGCCAGGCTGCGGAAAAATCATCTTCCACCAAACTGGTCTCTCATGCCAAAAAGGTTGGGGACTGCTAAATCATTGAATACCATTGCCCTCCGGAGGAACTTCCAAACATTGACTCCTCAACAAGGCAAAAGAGCAGATACGCTTAAACCAGCTTCAACCAACGAAAGGCTATTTTGCCTTCCCTGACGTGTGCAATGTGGGGAGGCGTTTTGGGTTGTTGCAGTTAGGGGTGCTACTCTATACAATGGGTAGAGGCCAGGGGTGCTGCTAGACATCCTCCAGTGTGCGGGACAGCCCCCTACAATGAAGAATTATCCAGCTCAAATGTCACTAGTGGTTGAGAAGCTCTGCCTTTTAGCGGGGATGGGGCTAGGGACTGGGGTGAGGCAGGTGGGCAGGCGAGGTACACAGTAGGGAAACACGTGCAGCCACCCCAAGGAAAAGGACTCCTGGGATTGGGCAGGACGAAAGCAAAGTTCCCTGTCTCCCTGGAACCGCCTTGTGGCTAGCGAAGGATGGGCACTGTGCCCTCCAAGGCTCATGTTGTAAGTCTGCTGCTTTCCTAGGAAGATGCCCCAGATTCAAAGAGCAATGTGAATACAAAGAAAGGGACTTGTGTACGAAGGACAGACAATGCGATGACAACGAGCGGTGCTGCATCTTCAACTGTGGAAAGAAATGTTTAAACGTCAAGGAAGGTAATCCTCAGAGCCTCATAATAACCCACCAGCACCCCTCCCCACGTCCTCACCTGCCGCCCGCCTGGACTGGCGCTGTCCCTGGTTCACTGAGGGGTGGTGTCTGGACATGATTGCTGGATTCGAGAGACCTGGGATGTAGGTTCGTCACTGCCTCTACTATGGTGCGTGACATTAGTAATGTCCTTGTCCCATCAGAGAATGTCTGAGGCTCACTTTCCCCAAAGATAGGTGAAGGTGGAATTGAATCAGATGGTTTTTCTGGCTACACGGCTACTTTTTGCATTCATGATCTTCTGAGTTCCCAGGTGGCCATTGCTGTCCTAACGTGTAGCAACATTGTTGCTGCCCATGAGGAGTTAAGCAGTGTATATTTCCTAGCTCTTTGCTCTGGGGTGACCACCTCTCTGCCTACACAACTTCGTACTGGGAATCCTCCCCTTTCTATCCCGGACCAGAGAGGGCTTTCCCTTTGCTGCTGCTATCTTAACTCCCTGCCCATCTCCCTGGGCTCCAAAAAGACGATCAAAGATTATTTATTGAGAAATATTTAACAAATATTTCTTGAGTGCCTCTGAGACCCATCCTAGGATTTGGCCTGCTCAGCGAGGTCAGGGAGGCGGGGAAAGCCTCCTCTGGGAAAGCAAGGCTGGAGTTGAGTTTAGAACGATGGGCAGGATTCTAGGCACAAAGCGAGTGGAAGGGCTTTCTAGGCGCAGGGCACAGCACGCACAACGGCTCAGCGGTGCGGCCCAGGGAGGCCAGAACGCAGAGAGCGCGTGAACGTGGAACAAGGAAGGAAGATCCTAGGTAGGTGGGGTTAAACAATCCAGGTCCGGTGGGCCAGGTTAGAGAGTCTCACCTTGATCCCAGGGGCCACAGAAATCCCTTGTGGAGGGCTGGGGACGTGATCAGGTTTGTACAACACCTTCAGAGAGGGAAAGAGGAGGAACGGAGCATCTTGAAGGCCATCAAGGTGAACGAAAAAGGTAGCCTGGTCTGGGGAGGTGGCGGAGGGGATGAGGAGGATGGGGTGTCGGAGAGGTATCTGGGAGGTGCAGCGGACTGGGCTTGGCAGGGGGGTGGAGTGAGCAGGCCGGGCTATGTCGTTCGCATACCTGCAGGCGAGGATCCCGAACCCAGACCTCCTGGTGCACGTCTCGGTCCAGTTTTTACCAGCCTTTTACCCTTGGGCAAATCGACGGCTTCCCCTGACTGTGCCTCAGTTTTCCCAGATAATGAAAGGACCAGTGTTAAAGGTCATTTCGAGGATCAAATAAATTGATGTGCATGGAGTGCTTAGAGCAACGCTGGGCACATGATGGCCACCTGACATATGTTAGCTCAAGTCATTTGTCATTCCTGACTGGGAGCTCCTGAGTAGCCAAGGCCATTGCTTTTTCTTTGTCCCTTAAAGCATTTAGCACATAGTAGGTGTTCAATGGATGATTTATTCAGTTCAGATCAGGATTTATTTTATTTTGCCCTCAACATTCCGTAAAGTCCTTAACTGGGCCAGGCTGCCTGTTGGGGAGTTGGGGTTCCAAGATGAAAGCAGACACAGGCCCTGCTCACTGGACACTCACAGCCTTGGGGATGACAGCCAAGATGCAAACAGACGACGGATATGCGCACAAGATTCAGAAGCGAAGTGTGGCAGTATGCCACGTAGAGCGTATAGCGGAGTCAGGAGACACGTCTCAGGGGAGCTGATGTCTGAGAAAGGCTTTGAAGGAAGAACGGGAGTGTCGCTAATGAGTGGCAGTGGGCACGTGGCAGGGCAAAGGCACGGGGGCTGGCACAGCACGGTGTGCTGAGCACGCAACTCATGGGAGCAACTGTGCGGTGGGGGGCAGGGGGGAGGCCAGAGCCCCAGTAGGGGCCAGATGAGGAAGGGCCTTGTGAGTCCTGGGAGGACTATGTCAGGAAGTCAAGGGAGGTCTTATCCGTGGAATGACAGGATCAGTTTAGCTTTGGTGGGTCTCCACCAGAGCCTTCTGTCTGGTGGGCAGCATAGAAGATTGATTGGAGGGGCCAGGACTGGAGGCAGGAGAATGGCTGCAAGGTTATCTCGACAGCCCAGACGTGAGATGCTGAGGCTTAAATCGAAGAGACTGGCAGAGAGGTGAGGTCTCAGGAGGTAAAAATCAACAGGACTTAGTTGTTGTTTTTTCTTTTTGAGACAGAGTCTCACTTTGTTGCCCAGGCTAGAGTGAGTGCTGTGGCGGCAGCCTAGCTCACAGCTCCTGGGTTCAAGCGATCCTCCTGCCTCAGCCTCCTGAGTAGCTGGGACTACAGGCATGTGCCACCATGCTCAGCATATATATATATACATATATATATATTAGTTGTCCAATTAATTTCTTTCTATTTATAGTAGAGACGGGGTCTTGCTCTTGCTCAGGCTGGTTTCGAACTCCTGACCTCCAGCAATCCTCCCTCCTCGGCCTCCCAGAGTGCTAGGATTACAGGCTTGAGCCACCGCGCCCGGCCAGACCTCATCTTAACTAACTGCATCCACAACGACCCTGTCTCCAGGGGCGCAGACACCCACTCTGGGGTCTCCCTGGCAACATGTGCACTATGTCCATGGAGCTTGGGTCCCGTGCTGTGATAGGGAAAAGGGGTTTATTCCAGTTTCATCTGTGGTGGTTTGCAGGGGGAACAATTTTGTTCCAAGATGGGTACTCTGAGTTCTCAACTCTGGGGTCTCTTGGCAGATATATGCGCTATGCCCAGAGTAAACGGTCTGTGCCTGGCTTACTTTCATCGTTGGTGGTACAATAAGAAGAATAATACCTGCTCCCATTTCATCTATGGTGGCTGCAAGGGAAACAATAACAACTTCCAAACCAAAGACATGTGTCTGAACGCCTGCTACAAAGCACGTGAGTTCTGGAGCCCCAGTCTCGCCAGGGCCATGCTGGGAGGCCGGGGTGTCGGCTGGTCTGTCCTTGGCAGACCTGGCGATGACAGACCAGCTCCAAGCAGGAGGTTAAGAATGAACCTCGAAAAGGGGTAGACAATGTAGCTTTCTGGGGACCAAGGATCTACAGGGACACGGAGGTGAATCGAAGCTGGCAAGTACGTAGAGAGGTAGGAGGGGTGGAGGGAGGTGCAGACATAGTGAAATCTCAGACGCCTGTTGTAGAGGGGTCACGGGACATCCAGCCTAGACACGTGAGCCAGCCAACCCTTCCAGGCCATTGATTTCCTCAACACGGCTTTTGCCAGCAATCCCCTCCCGTTCAGTTTTCCTTGAAGGAGATGAGTAGCTCCCCAAGCAAACCCACTTCCTTTTAACGTCCTCCTGTGAAAAGATGTATAAACAGAACCGCAAATTCCAAAGATAAGCTGAGCCCAAGACTCTCAGCTGGTCCTGTCCTACTTTCTCAACAGCCTCCTCTTCCTGAATGGATAAGGACACACTGGGACAACAGCCAGGATTTGGCTCATGCTCTGAGGACCTGTCCATGAACCTGCCTGAGGCTCCAGCTTGGCTTCCTCAATTCTGGTCGCAGCATTCTGAGGTGGTACCTCTTCCCAAACTGAACCGCGGCGTCTGCCTCCCCTTCCTCCCTCTCCACCCCTTTTCATGAATAATAATATCCTTCTGGTTTGCTCCCATTTGTATACCTTATCCCTTATCTCTGACTTCTAGAGCTCCCTGTTTATACCGTGTGGCTCTCAATTTTTCCCAATAAAGTACTTGGCTTAGTCCTTTACTCTGAGGCTGAGTTATTCAGACCCGCTTGGGACGTTGAGGCTCCTGGGGAATCAATGAACGGAGCGAGGACAGTCAGAATCTTGAGAGTTGAGAGCTCCAGGGATATTGTTATCCTCCTCTGTTTCTTCAAAACATTGTAAAAGCCTTTTAAGGCAAGGGACCACGTACGTTGCCTTAGTTTGGATCTCCCAGAAACTGACCCTGGACAAGGGCATGGGTGCAGGTGTCTATCTGGGAGATCTCGCCTGCGAAGCACAGGGTGGGGAGTGTGGTAAGTGTCGCAAGGAAGAGACAATGGTCGATTGTGAGCTGGTTACCACTGTGGGAAACTGTGGCTCAATCCCACTGGGGACCCTCTAAAGAATCATGTAAAACAGACCTTCAACTTATCTTCATCTGTCTCCCAGGACGGGGAGGCTGAGGTACTTACCCACTGATTCCAGTCCTCACCAGATGCCTGGGGTGCTAAAGCCCTCGCTCTTCCAGACTGTTCCGCATGCAAGCTGAACAACTCTCAGGGAGCTAGAGAAAATCCGCAGTAGAAAAGAAGAAACGCTGGCACTGGGGGTGGGAGGCCGTCCTCGTGCACCGGATATTATTCAGCCAGAAAAAAGGAATGAAGTGCTAATGCTACCCTGTGGTGAACCTCAAAAACATTCTGCTAAGTGAAAGAAGCCAGGCATGAAAAGTCGAACACTGCATGATTCCATTTATATGAAACATTCAGAATAGGTAAATCTCTAGAGATAGAAAGTAGATTAGTAGTTGCCAGGGGGTGGAGTGGGTTAGGAGGAAATGGGGAGTGCCTGCTAATGGGTAGGGGGTTTTCATTTAGAGTGATACAAATGTTTTGGACCAGTAGAGGCGGTGCTTACAGAACATTGAGGATGTACTAAAAAAACCCCCACTGAATTGTTTGCTTTAAAATGGCTAATTTTATGTGACATAAATTTTACCTCCATTTTTAAAAATGGATTAAGAAAAAATGTGCAGTGGGACTCTCTCTTGCAGCTGCAGGTGAAATTGGAGGGGAGCCTGTGGGGGGTGGCGGTCCCACGGCAGGGTACGCTTGAAGTCTGCAGATCCACTCACTCCCACATGCCGTCCACTGCCAGAGAGCCTGCCACTTTCCAATGAGGCCAGTGGAACATTCTTCAGTCCCCGATTCTTCAGCTGATTCTGAATTCATAACTGGCATTTAGTATTTGTCTCCTGTGTCACCAAATCTAAATCACACCCCATGATAGAAGCTGTCATCATCTTCTTTCAAATGCCATGACCTGGACAGACACTGTCTGTCTGAAGGTTCAGTGCAGCCTGGAATCAACCTGTTTCTTCCTTCAAACCCCACTCAGGACAATACCTTTACTCTGACAATGGCTCAAGAAAATGGGTGCACCAAAGAGGAGAGAGAAGGAAGGGAAGGGTGGGGAGAAAGGATCCCAGACACAGAGAGACCCACTGGAAAAGAGGAAAAGCACAGGCTACAAGGCACAGAGAGGCATAAAAGAGAGAAAAAGAAACAGCGTGAGAAAAAAAATAGACACATCAAGAAGACGGTAAAATTAGAAAGAAAGATGAGAACCAGGATACTCTTGACCTCCAAATGCCCCCTGGGATATGGGAGACTCTGCAGTTAAACACCCCCTTCTGCTAAGGAAGCCTGGAGAGCCCTAGGCAAGATGTATCCGTCTCCCCTGCAGACCAGAGAGCCCGAGGGGCTCAACCCGCCTATCGAGAGCCCCTTCCCGCAGGGTAGGTGCCAGCTAATCGCACTGATGGCCTCCGGGAGTTGGCGTCCCCAGCGGGGCGAGTGTGGCTGGCTCGTGTCCAGCGCCAACTCCTGAAATGTTAGGCTGCACTGGAGCATGCAAAGTTGAGAGGCAGTATTAAAAAAGAAAGAAAGAAAGAAAAGAAAAGAGAAGAGTTCAAAGGCAGGAGCTCCTGAGCAGCAGTTCCCAGTTTTGGTACAATCAGCTAGGCCAGTATCTTCTAAACTGGGACTCTCAGGACTGCTGCGGATCCTAGTACCGTTCCCCTTCCTGGAGGGCATCCAGGGACCTGGGCTGGTTGAAGGGCTCTTCCTCAGTTAGTGTTGGGGACTTGGTCCTTGCAGTGAAGAAAGGGAACTCAACAGGGAGGAAGGAAAAAGGAACAATTTCACAGATGAGGGGTGTTTTCCTCTGTCTCAGCCTGGGGTCCTGGGTGAGCAGGGGGGGATGGTTATTTGGAGCTAGTTTTGCAGCCCCTTCCTCCAAGGTGATAAATTGGCAACATCGAGAGGTCCATCAATAGGAAAATGGAATACATGAACTGTGGTATATTCATACATTGGAATATGACAGAGTAATAAAAAGAAATTAACTATTAGTATATACAACACAAGCAATGAATCTCAAAACATTATGCTAAGTGAAAGAAGCCTTATGCACAACAATACATACTGTATGATTTCATTTATATGAAAATCTAGAATACGTAAAACAATATGTTGTAAAAACAAAACACAGTTTTGTTTGAGGCAACCACAATTGTATGGTTGCCTCTGGGAGAAGTCAGGTGGGGAAGGAAATTGACTAGGAAGGGCCTGATGAAACCATTTGGGGTCAAGGGATTATTCTAAATATTTATAGGGGGTTGGCTATGTGGGCACATAAATTTGTCAAACACAGCATATATACACTTAAGACTGTATACAAATTTCACATCAAAATAAAACTGTAAGCCAATATTGAGCTCTAAATCATTATATCCATGGTGAAGTATTTGGGGTGAAGTGTACCAAAATACATAATTTACTTTGAAATGCATCAAAAAAAAATAAGATGGATTAATGTATAGATAGAATGTGTAGATGGATAAAGCCATTGCAACAGCAACCTCTTCTGCCAAGTCCCTGGGAGATCTTGAGCAGAAATGGAGCCGAATAGTTGTCTTCAATGAAGGTAGGGGGTCAGGTGTTTGTATTTCATCACAGGCCAGTCATTGAATATGGGTAAAGTGACTCCTTAGGCCAAGAGCAAGTCCCGTAGAGAAATTCAGCTATGAGCCTTCAGCAGCCAATACTCCTAGCAGCTAGGGGAATGAGTGCCTCAGTCCTGAAGGGGCATCTACGTGATGGCCCATAGAACCCATATGACATTAGACGTTAGGTGTGAGATTTTGCAGGTATGAGATCCAGGAGTTCCCAAATTCTACCCAATGTCTCACTTCTCCTTCATGGAGGGAGTCTGACTTATGGACAAAACAAGAGCCAACTGTGAAACAAAGTACTGCTGTGAAATACACGGGCAAAAGCATGCAGCAATACTCAGTGCAAGATTTTCTGATTAAAATACAGTTGTATCACATGGCTTAAGCTGTCCACTCCCACTCCACATCCGAATTTTAGGACAACACATTCAGGCATAAGTGCTAGTGGGGAAAGAGAGAGAGGTCTGTCTTCAAAGTAGATAACAACTAGCATGAGGATATAAATGTATCATCTGAACAGGACACTTTTGAGAGTATAAGCATGTCTCTTAGGTATATGACTGATACATGCATCTCTAGCAAGTTGTAGAGTAACACGTATTTGAGGAGGAGGCTCATTATAAGGTAAATGTTTTATTCTAAATATTTATCCAAAGGAAAGACTTCCAGTAATACTGACCTAAAGAGGTCAGGTGATTCCTCTCCACAGAAAACAAGTATAAAACTGGATGAGATCGTCAAAAACAAACCAAGGTACTGGAAATTGACCAAACCAAAACAATAAATTGAGAAACATTTATTCTTGTAAAACAGAGCTTCAGTTCCAAGAAGCTCAATAAACCCCTAGCAGATTAGACACATACCTAGAAACCACACTTAGACACATCATAGTCAAATTCTGAAAGACAAAGAGAAATATTTGAGAAAAAACCAGAGAAAAAAATGACTCATCACATACAGGTGACCAATCATGGAAGTAATAGTTGACTTCTCACTAGAAATGAATGAAGACCAGAAGGCACTAAAATAATATAGTCAAAGTGCTGAAAGGAAAAAAAAAAACTATAAAAAAAGAATGCTATATTCAGAAAAACTATCCTTCAAAAATAAAGGCAACAATAACTACTATCTATAATATATAAAGAACTCTCAAAACCTAACAGTACACAATCTAATTTAAAAATAAGCAAAAGACATGAACATTTTGCCTAAGAAAACATACAGATGAAGAATAAATACATGAAAAGACATTCAACATCATTGGACAGCAGGGATATGCAAATTAAAATCACAATGCTATATCACTACACACCTATCAAAATGTCCAAAATAAAAGAGAGTGACAGCAAACATTGACAACAGCAAACATTGATGAGGATGCAGAGAAACTTAGCATGCTTTGGGGCATGGAAAATGCTACAACTGCTCTGGAAAAGGGTTTTACATTTTTTTTTTTTTTTTTTTTGAGACAGGGTCTCACTCTGTTACCTGGGCTAGAGTGCTGTGGTATCAGCCTCGCTCATAGCAACCTTAAACTCCTGGGCTCAAGCGACCCTCCTTCCTCAGCCTCCCGAGTAGCTGGGACTACAGGCATGTGCCACCATGCCTGGCTAATTTTTTGTATATATATATTTTAGTTGGTCAATTAGTTTCTTTCTATTTTTTAGTAGAGATGGGGTCTCGCTCTTGCTCAGGCTGGTCTCCAACTCCTAAGCTCAAACGATATGCCTGCCTTGGCCTCCCAGAGTGCTAGGATTATAGGCGTGAGCCACCACACCCAGCCGAGTTTTACATTTTCTTATATAATTAAACCTTCAATTACCATACAACCCAGCAATTGCACACTTGGGCATTTATCTCAGAGAAATGAAAACATACGTTTACATGAAAACCTGTATGTGAATGTTCATAGCAGCCTTATTCATAATAGCCAAAAGCTGAAAACAGCCCAGATGTCCTTCAACATGTGAATAGTTAAACAAACTGTGGACCATCCTTGGACTACTACTCAACAATATAAAAGCA